TCTGGAGCATTACAGCTCCCTGAAACTAATTTCTGTAATCAAGACACAGCCAGCCAGAGGTATAGAATATCCCAAGTTAAACAACAATAAAAAGGAAAGCCAACACTTCAGGCTAAAATACCCACGCTGCTATTCTGGGGTATATCGTTTCAGCCTTTGAGTTGGAGGCAACAAGTTCCTCCGATCCGTTGGAACCTACGACTATATAACTAATAAACATATCACCTTGATACAGAACCTTCGTTAGCGATCAATAATTAGTTTACATCGATGCTGGTCAAAAGTTCATCACTGCATTCACATAAGCCTAAAGTAGACACTAACATATTGATATGGTTAAATCTAATGCATGGAATCATAAATTGTTTCAATATTTCAATATTTTCCTTCCACTTATTCCCAGAGCTCAGACGATCCGTTCTTCGATATTTGTAATTAAAATTGAAATTTTAACCTGCAGAATGTGCATTACTTGCCCGTCAGATGTAACTCTTTCTTGTGTAATTTAGCAAGCGCACACGACCGGTTTTTCTGCCGCAGCGGTAAACCTACCGCAACCGAATATTCTTCTTGCCTGCGCACACGGACGGTGAAATAAACGCATTGTCTGCGTTTTCTTTTCACTTCGGTGCTGGATTTTATGGAGACAGTTGGCGTGTGCTCTAGGCTGATAAATCGAGGAATGGATATTGTTGATACTGTCGTTGTGTGTGTTTGTTGATAAGGGCAAGGGCAAAGCTAAGAAATAAATTTTGGTTCCTTCCACTCGTAAGGCAAAAATTGTTGAAAGCCCAATTTCACAAATTATATGAAGACCTGTGTATGTATCCAAAAGAATTATTCACATAATTTCTTTTTGACTTAAATACGTCTATAAGGAAGGGTCATTCGGCAAAAATGTGTTATGAAAAAGGGAAACGAAAAAGGGAAACCAAAAAGTGTAAATTCATTGTTATGTTACCTAGGAAACGTCATCTGTTTACTCGGAATTATTGTTACCTAGGAAACGTCATCTGTTTACT